TGGATGGCGGGGAGAGAGGGGCAAGACTCAGGGCTAAAGGTGCTTGACTGGAGGAAAGCAAATTTCACAGAGATAAAGCGGGAGGTGGCACTGGTAAATTGGCCTTTCCCTCCCCATCAAGTTAATTTCCAGATACTGCCCTCATTTTCCTCTGAAAGTACACACTCATTCTGGAATATGATTCCATGAGCAGCTGTAAAGCTTCCTGTACCTGACTCAGGTTCCCATTATTATACAGTAATAGGAACCCAGCCAGTGAATGTGTTTAACTATGATGGTGGGATAGGTATCATATCCCAATCCAGTCTTTCCCCAACACAAACGGACACAACAACAACAATAAATTACGTTTGCAGAGCGCCTTTCATGGTGTGAGGACATCCCAAGGCGTTGGACAGTCAAGGATTTGCATCAGAGCTGGGGGTTGGGATTAGGAGGTTTGGAGGGCAGGGAGGGATTATGAGAAGGGCCTTGAGGGAGGGGACAAGGCGAAAGGATGGTGGGATGGATTTCCAAGGAGTGGGGGCAGGGTGGATTATATATTTCCGAATAAGGAAATAAGGAATAATAAGAAGAATAACAATAAGGGAATAAGGGATTGCTGGAAGTTGAACTTGCTGGAAGGCAGACTAACAACTGGACACAGGGTACTACCAAGGGATCCAGTTCAGTTGCACTTTAGGTACTTGCAGGTCTTGTAGCTGTGTGGTGTGTAGATAACCCATATTATTAGTGATATCAAATGTATGATAGCAGAACGCGGAGTCCTGTGGCTCAGTGGTTAGAGCACTCGCATTGCAAGCGAGGGACCTGGGTTCAATTCCAGGCAGGACCAAACCTTGGGCAAGTTTCCTTACTCCACACAAAGCCTAATAATAATCCCTCCAAAACCAAAAACAATAATAAATTGGTCATTTTTAATCCACGACTGTTTGTGGGACACTGCTGTGTGCAATTGGCTGCCAAGTTTCACCCACAAATATACAGTCAATTCATATTCTGTGAAGCGTTTTGAGACGTCTAAAAGGCGTGAAAAGCGCTATATCAAATGCAAGGATTATTATTATTATTATATTATTATTGGAAGAGGAAGTTTAGTTTCCCTCTGTAGCTCTGAGAGTGAAGGTGACAGTGCAGCAAACTGAGCCTGACTGACACACTGGCTACTGAGGCTGAGACCAGTATTTCTGCACCAACTGGATATTAAACCGGGAATCTTCGTGGTCTGTGCAATTCAATTCCATACGATGTACCCAGTTACCAGCTGAGGCTTCCTACTCCTATTTTAATTCAATTAAATATAAATTGTAGGTAATTGAACTTCTGCATGCAGCTTTTAACTCAAGACTTCAAAGAGTGGAGGGAAAAGTATATCTGACATCTGATTGCAACGTTCAAGGTAATATTACATGACACAATGAGCAAAACATGTTTTCCGAAACCAGATTTGCAGGTCCGTGAACATAGCTGAGGCGTGCATCAGGAACTCAGGGGCATTATCAAATGCATTAATTATGGATGACCTTTTTTTTGGATTCACAAGATTGCAAGTTAAAAATACTTATGCTACACAAGTGCCAATCATCCCAACGGTTGCATATTTACACATCGAAAAATAAACATGGAAGCATTTTTACTACGTGCAAAGATATTTAAATTATGTGGCACGGATGCTGTTATGGACAGGTTTACTCAACCATACCCAAAGCTATATGAGCTTCGATTTATTTATATGTTTAGAATCAGAATAGTTCTCAAATGAATCCCAATTGTTTTTCATTCGAATATTTTGTTTAATTTTTCCAGAGAGGACAAAATATAAAGTAATATATTGGAAGATGATTTACCACAAGCAGATTGAAAAGCTGAGGCTCTTTTTACTGGAATAGAGAAGGCTACAAAGGCATTAAAAGTTTTGAAAAGTTTTTAGACAATAGTGAGAGATTATTCTCTTTGGTTAAATCAGTAACAAGAGGGCTCATAAACTGCTGTGTTGGAGATGTTATCCTACGGGTGAGATGTTAAACTGAGTTTCTAGTCTACCTGTTTAGGGGGACTTTAAAGATCTTGTGATATTATTGGAAAAGGAAAGGGATTTCCTCCCAATCTCTTGGATCTACACTACAAAACATAGAGATTTACTTCACAATACTGCACGTTCAAATCAGCAATAGTTGTTGGAAAGGGTCCACAGATCAACCCGTTTAACTCTTAATCTCTTTCCAGCATGATTAATTCCCGAGTACCATACGCTTTGTGACACTGAACAGACTTATTAAAACAGAGTCCGTAACAGCAGTTAAAAGGAAATTTGATAAATACTTCAGGAGAATATGAAAGACTTTTTTTTAGTGAAAAAGCAGGGAATGGGATTGCTAGGAGAGAGTTTTACAGGGGGGAGGGGGGCAGAATCAACACAAGTACAATAGGCCAAATGACCTCCTGTGTTATTAACTTTCTACGTTACTAAACATCCAATAATGAGCTGGAGGCAGATTCCTTTCAGGTCACAAAACACAGCCATTCTTGCCAGTAAATGTTTTCTTTTGTCAGACCTTCGTCAAGGGCGGGGAAAGGAATCCACAATTAGAGTTCAATTCACATCCAATGATTGTTAAATAGTAATAAACTATAACGCCTATAACATCAAAACATCTCAAAGTAGTGTAGTGATTGTATTTGTAGGTGAACACAGCAGCCAATTTGCACGTAGCAATGTTTCGCAAACAGCCATGAAGTGAACGGCCAATTTATCTGGAGGATATTTTGACTAGGGCTTCAGTGATAACTCCTTTCTCTCTTCCAATAGTTTCATTGGATAGAAACATAGAAATCTGCAGTGCAGAAGGAGGCCATTCGGCCCATAGAGTCCACACTATCTCACAGATCAATTCAGGTCCCACTGCCCTGCATCATCCCCATTCCACTTCAACACCCTCTCTTTCATACGTCTGTCGACTTCCCTCTTTTTATTTTTGCCCAGACGGGTGTCTGACACATGCGGAAGCCCATCATCAGGCCCGGCTGTGCTGTCAATAGCAGTGCCCTGGAATACTTCGGACCCGCCTTGCTCAGGAACCGGACTAGAGACCCCCACAGAGGGCTGGCTCGATTCCGACATTCGGTTGCCAGTTCAGCTCCAAGGAGTTCCCACTTACCTCCTGCCCCACCCCCCCACTCTCTCTTGAAAACTACAATGGACTCTGCTTCCATCACCTTACTCAACGGGGTGTTCCACATCCTGGCAACTCTTTGATGGAATCGTTAATGCCCACCTGAAAGGGCAGACTGGTCACCGATTTTGTTTGATAAGAAGAGTGGTGCCTCTGCAGAACTCCTCCAATACTGCACTTGAGCCTGGACTGTGAGCTCAAATTCCTGATGTTGGGGTTTGAACCCGAAACTTTCTAATTTACCAACTGAACCAAGCAAGCACTTTGATGCAGGGATTGTTCGTTATGAGTAATTTTTTCTCATGAGATTTAGCTCCAGGGGAGAAAGAACACTGTCTGATGAGTGCCAGATTCACACCTAGCCATTGTTGATTTGACTCCACCGTGGTCATGTCGGTCCTATTTGGTCAAGCAGTTTGCCGATGGTTGCAATGGTAAACTGCATGTTTTTCAAATTACAGCAGTACTCCAATGCCCAAGTGTTGCCTCTTAATCTGTAGCTAAGCAGTCACTACACTTTACAGTAAGTGTATAAACATACTTTGTGACGTTCTGACATGAAAGGCGCTTTTATTAAATGCAAGGCTTATTATAAGGGCATAACCTTGGCCAAGTTTCCTTACTCCACACACCTGATAATAATTCCTCAAGAAAAAAATAACAATAAATTGGTCACTTCAATCCGCGACTGTTTGTGGGACATTGCTGTGTGCAATTGGCTGCCGCGTTTCGCCCACAAATATACAGTCAATTCACTTTACAGTATATTCTGTGAAGCACTTTGAGACGTCTGGAAGACGGGAAAAGTGCTATATCGAATGCAAGGATTATTATTATAACTTCCATTATTTTGGGAAAAAAAGGCCACTCTTCGTGTAGAATAATATCCCAAAGCACTTTACCAGAGGCTAAGCAGTTAAGCGTGTAAGCGAGTCAAGGAGAGAAATCCCAGGCAGATTATAGTTTGGTTTACAGGTTCCTTTTAAGTGTGGGGCTGTGTGTGTGTGTGTGTGTCAAACACAGAGACAGACAGACACAGAGAGAGACAGGCACAGAGACAGACAGACACAGAGAGAGACAGGCACAGAGACAGACAGACACAGAGAGAGACAGGCACAGAGACAGACACAGAGACAGAGAGAGAGACAGAGAGAGACAGGCACAGAGACAGGCACAGAGACAGAGAGAGACAGGCACAGAGACAGACACAGAGAGAGACCGGCACAGAGACAGACACAGAGACAGAGAGAGAGACAGAGAGAGACAGAGAGAGACAGGCACAGAGACAGACAGACACAGAGAGAGACCGGCACAGAGACAGACACAGAGACAGAGAGAGAGACAGAGAGAGACAGGCACAGAGACAGACACAGACAGACAGAGAGAGACAGGCACAGAGACAGACACAGAGAGACAGAGAGAGACAGGCACAGAGACAGACACAGAGAGAGACAGGCACAGAGACAGACAGACACAGAGAGAGACAGGCACAGAGACAGACACAGAGACAGAGAGAGACACAGAGAGAGACAGGCACAGAGACAGACACAGAGAGACAGAGAGAGACAGGCACAGAGAGACAGGCACAGAGACAGACAGACACAGAGAGAGACAGGCACAGAGACAGACACAGAGACAGAGAGACAGACAGACAGACAGACACAGAGACAGACAGACAGACAGACACAGAGAGAGAATCAATAGGGCAAACAGGATACATTGCTGGTAGTGTTGATTGACAGCGACGCGGACCAATCAGGAAGCGGTGTGAGGTGAGAGGCGGAGGAGAGCGCCAATGGGAGCAGTGCGGGGGCGGGACCTGGGGGCGGGGTCGGATACATTGTGTTCTGTCAGGTTCAGGCGGAGATGAATGGAGGAGAGACGGTGAGGGGGGCGGGGGGGCAGTGTGGGGGGTGGGGGGGCAGTGTGAGGGGGTGGGGGGGCAGTGTGAGGGGGGGTGGGGGGGCAGTGAGGGCAGTGTGGGGGGGGTGGGGGGGCAGTGTGGGGGGGGTGGGGGGGCAGTGAGGGCAGTGTGGGGGTGGGGGGCAGTGTGGGGGGGGTGGGGGGCAGTGTGGGGGGTGAGGGGCAGTGAGGGCAGTGTGGGGGTGGGGGGCAGTGTGGGGGGGTGGGGGGCAGTGAAGGGTGAGGGCAGTGTGGGGGGGGATGGGGGCAGTGAGGGCGGTGTGGGGGCAGTGAGGGCAGTGTGGGGGCAGTGAGGGGGGTGGGGGCAGTGAGGGCAGTGTGGGGGCAGTGGGAGCAGTGAGGGCTGTGGGGACAGTGAGGGCAGGGTGGGGGTGGGGGGGCAGTGTGGGGGCAGCGTCGGGGGGGTGGGGGCAGTGTCAGGGGGTGGGGGGCAGTGGGGGACAGTGTCAGGGGGTGGGGGGCAGTGTCAGGGGGGCGGCAGTGTCAGGGGGGGCAGTGTGGGGGCAGTGTCAGGGTGTGGGGGGGCAGTGTCGGGGGGTGGGGGCAGTGTAGGGAGGGTGGGGGGCAGTGTGGGGGGGCAGTATCGGGGGCTGGGGAGGCAGTGTGGGAGGGCAGTGTCGGGGGGTGGGGGCAATGTGGGGGGGTCGGGGCAGTGTGGGGTGGGGGGCAGTGTCAGTAGGTGGTGGGCAGTGTCGGGGTGGGGGCAATGTCGGGGTGGGGGGGCAGTGTCGGGATGGGGGGCAGTGTCGGGGGGTGGGGGGGCAGTGTTGGGGAGTGGGGGCAGTGTCGGGGTGGGGGGGCAGTGTCGGGGGGTGGGGGGGCAGTGTTGGGGAGTGGGGGGGCAGTGTCAGGGGGTGGGGGCAGTGTCGGGGTGGGGGGGGCAGTGTCAGGGGGGCAGTGTCAGGGGGTGGGGGGGGCAGTGTCGGGTTGGGGGGACAGTATCGGGGGGGCACAGCCTGGACAGCAGAGCAAGTTTACTCCTGGGATAAGCTGGGACCTGGTTTGGTTAAGTCTTGCCCCCTCCCTCCCTCTTGTTTTAACCCCCTCTCCCCCACACAGACAAACCCCGGCCTCACTTCTGGTCCAAACAAAAGCGACTTATGTCTGTCCTTCAGCCCACGGACCGACCCTGTGCCAATAAAGTCCGGGACCGCGACGTCTCAGCGCCCCGGGGCGCCTCTCCGCCGCCGGACCGCCGTGAGCAGCCCAGGCCCCGGTTCGCTTGCAGGAGGGAGCATTGCAGGAGCGATGTGGTAAGGCTGTTGGCAGCTTGGAACTGAGTCACGGGCTTTCCTCCCCGATCAGGTGTAAGTCGTTTGATCGTCGCCGCTCTCGATGTGGTCCTGAAAATGGGTGTTATCCCCTAAATTGCAATATTGTTTATATTTCCGGGATGGAGCGAAACTCCTCCTCCCCTCTCTCCCCCACATCCTTGACTTAACCCTTCCACCCCCTACCCTCCCCCCTTCCCCCATCTTGACTTGCCACCAATATTTAACTTGTATTATTCTAATAATATTCTGATTAATAACTCTTCCACTTGTCGGACCATTTGGGAGAACATCGCAAAGTGCTTTACAGGATATGCCGTAAAGCGTAGAGACTGTTGTTTGTGGGTGAATGTAGCAGCCAATTGCACACAACAATGCCCCACAAACAGGGAATGACTAATTTCATGGGTGGGGGGAGGGATTGTTGGCCAGGAGATACTGGGAGAAACTTCCTTCTCTTTTTAAGTTGTACCATGAGATTTTAAGCGCTTCAAGACGTCGAGAAGACATGAAAAAGCGCTATATCAAATGCAAGGATTAATTATTATTTATTATTATAAGATCTTTAACATCGACCCGAACGGGAAGATGGGGCCGACTGTCTCGTCCAAAGGTCGGCACCTCCAACAATGCAGCCCCTTCCCCCCAATATTGCATTGGAATGTCAGCGTAGACATTATGAGTGAGTTCAAAGTCCCAAAGTGGAACTTGAACCCTCATCTATTGACTCTGAGGTGAGAGTGCTATATATTTATGCCTTGGATAAATGGTTAAATCCAATTCATTAAATGCCATTGTTTCAAAAACACTGTAACAAACCAAAACTTTCCCAAACCTGCGATTGATATCAGTAATCTGTAGGCAATGCTTCACGTTGTCTTATTTTTGATCAACTAGGTGCCAGACGCACACACAATCTCATCACCATCCCTACAGGCTTCTAAGTGACTTGTTTTGTTCAGCCGGGATCCTGAGACATGCAGAAATGGATCCCCATATTTAAAGAGTATTCAAACGAATCTAAGATTTCCATGCCTCCCACCTACACATGGAAATCCCAGAGATAGATTGTTGGAATGGAATGTGCACTCTCACTCTTCCTGGAAGGGTGTATCTTGCTTATCTAATACCAGAAAGTACCAAGGTGCAGGTTGGTAAGAGCCAAGACTAGGGGACCCCAGAGTGTGTGTTGGGGTAACTGCTGGAGTCTAACCAGCTAAAACCACATAGCTTGCCATTGATATCGCTGTCTGGCCAGCTTTCCTGCAGCTTGTCCAGCCAGAACCACCCTACTCATTAGGGCTTTGGCTTGCAGGGTTAATAGGAGCTGAGTGGGAAGACTCACTGCCCCCAGTGACTGGACTACCCTTCCAGGTCCTGCTGATGAGCCAAGGCTGGTTGTGCTGTTATCAGTAGTGCCCATCTGGCTCAGGACTAGAGACCATCACAGAGAGATAGCTTGATTCCGAAATACCACTGCTAATCATGTCACTTTGGAGCCAGTTCAGCCCCAAGGAGACCCAAGGAGGATAGTCTTTACACTTGGTAAGTTCCTGTCATATCAGGCGGACATCCCAAGGCGCTTCCCAGAATATTCTGTGACTGCATTTTGTTTGTGGATGAATGTGCCGGCCCATTTTTGCACACAGCAATGCGCCAGAAACAACAGTGGAGTGAAAGACCAATTTTATTTGCGGGACTGTTGGCCAGGACACCGGGAGAAACACCCTTCTCATTTTGAACCGTGCCATGGAATCTTTAACGTTTGCCTGAACAGGCCTCGTCTTAATGTCTCATCCAAAGAATGATGGCACCTCCAACAGTGCAAACCCCCCCCTTTTGCGCTGCACTGGAATGTCAGCCTAGATTATTACTGAACTTAATCCCTGACGTGGGGCTTGAACCCACAACCTTCTGACTCCGAGATGAGGTTGATCCGTGCATTGTATGTATAGTTTCTGTTTGTGTGCCAGTGGGTGTGCACATTTTCTTTTGAAGAACACACCCTTCTTGCCTAATCCCAAGGTATTTTGGCGCAGGTTGGCAGAGCCAAGGCTTGGGTTTCCCTCGGAGTGTGCATTGGAGTAGTGATGGAGTTTAACCAACTAAAACTGCCTCTTAACCACTGAACAGTGGGAAACACAGCAGCCACTTGCACCTGCAAAATCCCACAAACATGGGGCCTTTAACATGTGAGCAGGCAGGGAGGACGTGTCATCCAAAGGTATGGTACCTTTGACAATGCAACGCTCCCACTACTGCATTCGAGGATCAGCCTAAACTATTGCTGAACTCAATCCCTGATGTGGGGGTTTGAACTCACAACCTTTTGACCCAGAGGTGAGAGTGCTACCAACTGAGCCAGCTGATGGATGGATGCCTTATTGGGCAACAGTCAGACATGGCTACGGCACTGAGCAGCCAGTAATGGGATTGTGCATTTGCAGCCCATGGTTGAGGTATGGTTCACAGGGCAGTGACCTAAAGACTGTGATAAAGTAAATGAAGCAACCGTGCCACTGCGGGAGGGTTGGAGTCTGGTGTCGCGTGATTTCTGGTCCACGACAACAGTGCCCCATAAAATGCTTCCTGATTTTCGCAGGCCAAAATAAGCTTCCTTTTTTAAAATTAACATGACCTTAGACTGAGTGAGGGCTTAGGCTATAAACGGTAAATCATTTACCCGCTGGTTACAGCCGTGGGTATTAACACGGAGAAACCAATTTGGGGCCAGTTAACTGTTTGCGGGAGTGGGAAAGCATTGGAATAACATGACTCCAAACCTTTAAATTGCTGCCAGGATTTGTACCAGGTTCAGGAATTCAATGTGGCACATCGCTTAAAGGGATTTTCTTTTTTAAGGCAATCAGATGTAGGCTTAAATAAAAAGGAAGGCGTTACCATCAGGACTTCCCCAAGCCTTAGCACTTGACAACCTGGGCCTAATACTCTCCGGAATTAGGAAAGCAGGATGCATCCCTCCGGGGAGAGAGTGTGCCGGCTCCATTCCAAACTCAGTCATTTCCATGTGTAGGTCTGATACGTGGAACTCTGTTTAAGTTTTGGATGCTCTTAAACAAGATGTTGGGTTTCCGATTGACATATCGGCTGATCAAAGGAAAAGGAAGCCATTTAAACTTTTGTATTAGCATCGGTGTTTGTTCCTCAAATTAATCTATCCTCATCCCAATTTCCTGTTCTTTCCATACCTTTTAATATCCCCCTCCCTCCACTCTCTCCCCCCACCTACTCCTGATGTAATTTCCTTCTAAATCAAGTCTGCTTCAACAGCCTCTTATGGCAGATCATTGCATATTCTGATACCCTGTAAGAGACTACATTCTTCCACAATCCTTTCACAATCTTCGTTGTTATGATCCTTATATTTGATATAGTGGCATCGTAGAGACGTCTCAAAGTGTGTCACAGGATTTGGGTTCCTCACCATTTTTCCTTGTGGAAACCCTTTTGTTGCATTACCTTCATCACATCACTCTTCTCTGGAGATGTCAAGAGAATGGGAAGCAAGCAGGAGAGTGGGACCAGATTGGGTGGCTCATGGGGAGAAAAGCAGACTCGATGGGCCGAATGATCTGTTTCATGATCTCTCCTTTGCACGTAGTCTATCTTTGTGTCCTTGCACTGATCCAGGCTGCTTCCTGTTTGTAGCATTACACCACACGGTGCAAGTCGGTGACTAATTCTAGCTGGTCAGTCTGAATGTTGACATGTGCAAGCAATCACAAATCCTTCCCATCTGTTAAACTTCATGTCAATATCACAGACATTACGCTTGACCTGAATTTCCAACGAAGTGCTTTAGAATTTTGCTGTTTATAGGCGCTGTATCAAATATGAGGATTTTATCTACTGTATTAAGTTCTGGATCAACCTAGTGCTCCACAGGATCAACTGCATCAACACTGCATCAACAAACTGCCTCCATAACCGCTGTGTGAGCAAAACATTAGCACCTGTAACATGTCACCTACGCAGATGAATGCAGTAAAGTGTTGAATAGGGCAAAGATAAAAGGATAGAATGAGTCAGTTCCAGTGTTATAAGCGTAAGGACGTTTAACACTTATGATAAGTGCAGTGAGTACATAACACATAATGTCAGAAGTGCTTTGAAGTTCAGTTATCTATTCATCCCTACAGTGTGGGTGGGTGTATTGCATTGGGCCGTCTAAAGGTGCGAGTTAGACATAGTTGGGGAAAAATTCCACCTGGGTGTAGGTTTACTCTTTATCATCATTTTGAAGTTTGTTTTCTGTAAGTTTGGTTTTAAGTACTGAAGAAAACTGACTTCAGAGTTGAACCATAGAAACGTATAGTAAAGAATAAGACCATTTGACCCATCCAATGTATCCAGATTATTCTGTTTTAGATGTCTATCTGCTATCTGCTCAAGACCGAATTCAACAACTTGCCATATTCTGGACATTCTAACATGTTATGTTAATGAAGTAAACCGAGACTCAGGTGAAACTCCATAGATTTTAGAATTATAGAATGGTATAGCATAGAATCATACAATAATAATCTTTTCATTTCATATATCGCCTTATCACATCGTACAGACATCTCAAAGTGTTTCACAGAATATATTGGAAAGTGTGGTGACTGTATTTTGTGGGCAAAACACGGCAGCCAATTACACGCAGAAGTGTCCTGCAAACAGTCTTGGATTGAATGACCACGTTTTTTTTAATTAAAAAAAACATCTTTTTGATCTGCTGTGGTATTTTCTCCACATGAGCCTCTAATCTAATCCCTCTCTCCTGCTCCCTTCCTGCCCTTTAATTTTCAAACATTTCAAACATTGATCCAATTCCCTTTGATTTAGAGAATTCTGTTTTAACCACTTGTGTGAAGAAAATAAATCTCCCCACCCTCCCCCTTTTTTAATGCCTTTTGTTATTATGTTAAATTTCTGTCTTCTGTTACTGACTCACCTTATAAATTCACCCCTTAGGAAAAGCCTTCTTCATAACTGAAACCCGTAATCCTTTGGTTTAGATCCTTCAGATCACTGCAAATGTGACAATCTTAAACACACCGGTATTATAGATGTGAATTTTTATGATTCTGGGCCCCATCACTCTTCAGTGCTCATCAGTGAACCCTATAAGGATAATGTGGCTCTAGGGATCAGACTCCGACACTGTCAAGCGCTCCGGGATGCTCCCCCACGTGAAGGCACTATATAAACACAAGTTGTGGTTGTTATGTGTCCAGTGGCTGTCGGTAGCATTTGGAGATGACTTTTCTGGGATTGCTTTGTCCTTAGTCTATCAGATTCATAACAAACATTGTAATAAGTTATGCTTAAGTATTTGATACCGCGCCTTATATCAAAACACCCTCAAAGCACTTCACTGCAAAAGGAAGCTTCCTAAACCGTGATGGTCTGCAAAGTTGGAACTGTTCTCATGCAAAGGTTCTGGATATCTAAACTTCTCTTCTCTAAACATTACAGACCATTATACTTCCCATCCACAATGCAGCCAAGTGGTTGGATGAATGCTTGGAATCTGTACTGGAGCAGGACTTCGAGGGATCTTTGCAGCTCTCCGTGTTTAACGATGCCAGTCAGGTTGGAATGGTCACGTACAGTAAAATACAGTTGACATTAATATAGTGCCTCCCGTACCAGGAGGACGTCTTAAAAACGCTTGACAATGCCGAGCCGGGCAACTGAGCTGGGGTTTGAACCGGGGGTTAGTGAGGGGAAAGGTGACCCGAAACGCGGTCAGTGAGGCACTTTGTGCTTTCTCAGCAACACTTTGATGAAATCCCTTCGGTTGAAGGAATAATAGAATTGATATTTCTACAGCACCTTTCACATCAACAGGATGTTTCAAAGCGCTTCACTCAGCAAACTGAGAGCCTAAACTGGGGGCGAGAGGGAACAGAGGAGGGGGAGAGAAGGGGGAGTGTTAAGGGGGAGGGGGAGTGCAGGAAAGAGGGGGAGTGCAGGGGGGAAGAAGGGTGACCAAAAGGTTGGGTAGGCTTTTAACACAGTTGTCAGGTTCACAAACTATTTTGACGTCAGGGAGGAATGAGCTTGTTGCCATCATGTAGTTTCTCACCCACCCATCATTTACCTCTTCCAGGATGATTCGATGAATATAGTTGAAAAATGGATGAAGAAGTTTCAAGAGCGTAACATACCAGTTGTGATCGATGGCCACAAGTCTCCACAGCCAAAAGGAGGTACGTGTTCAGATTACCATCTGTCATTTCAAGTGAATAATAATAATATAAAAGGATTTGATAAGGTTAACATAAAAAGGCTGTTTTCCCCTTGTTGGGGAGCCCATAACCAGGGGACACAAGTATACGATAGACATGAGGGGATCTAAAAGAGAACTTAGGAGAAAGTACTTCATACAGAGAGACCGTGAGATTGTGGAACTCGTTGCCTGAAGCAGTGGTTGAATCAGATAGCGTACATGCGTTTAAGAAGAAGCTACAATGTACACGTGGAGAAGGGAAAAGGAGAATATAGGTGGGAATAATAAGTGAGTAGAGTATAAACATTTTACTTGGCAGAATGGTCTGTTTCTCTTTCTCAAGATCCTCTCACTCGTTTCTGTGTAAAGTGCTTCACAAACAACAGCTAACTTTAGTGCAGTGAGAAGTGGGAGAAGCTCTCTATTCCGAGATCCTCTCACTCTTTTTCAAATCCCTTTATGCCCTCGCAGGTCCCTACCTCTCCAATCTGCTTACCCCCGCGCTCCACCACCCGCTACCTCCGCTTGGCTGGCTGTGGGCTCCGATTTGTCCCTCATCAAGATCCTAGTCCTCACCTTCAAAGCCCGCCATGGCCTTGCTCCCCTATTACCTCTGTGACCTCTTAAACCCCTACCAACCTGTCGGCTTCTTCCGCTCAGTGGGCTCCGGCCTGCTTCACATCATCCATCTTGGCTGCCCCACCATTGCGGGCGAGCCTTCAACCACTCTGCCCCCACCTTCTGGAACTCCATCCCACAGTCCCTCCACCTCAGCCCCTCTCTTGCCTCCTTCAAGTCTCAAGACCCTCCTGTTCAACCTTTGATCACCCTCCTACCCCTCACCCGCCCTCCACCCCTCCTGATCCTAACCACCAGCTCGGATGCGGATCCCTGACTGTCCATTGACTTGGGATGTCCTCCTAACATGAAAAGCATTATACAAATGTAATTTGTTGTTGTTGTCCCCTCTGCTCCAACATTGATAGCTGTGCCTTCGGCCACTATGCCTCAAAACTCTGGAACTCGCTCCCTCAATACCCCCTCCCTCTCCCCTTGGCTAGGTGTCAGACTTCGCCAGTGTCAAGTGCTCCGGGACGCTACCCCACGTGAAGGGCATATATAAATGCAAGTTGTTGTTGTTAACGTGTTAGACTCTGCAGGCATCATTCTAAGAGGCATCATTCAGCAATTGTGCATTCCTTGTATTTCCACAGTTGGATTTGCGAAGAATCGGGCTGTGGCCCAGAGTTCTGGGAGATACCTCTGTTTCCTGGACGCTGTGAGTATTCAGTCTAAGCTAATGGGACGAGTTCCACCCTCAGAAGATCAGAGTTCAATTTTTACCCAATCATTATTTATCTGAGAAAATATCCGAAATTCCTGTAAAACACATTTCCCTGAAGCAGTCAATTGGCCTCCTGGCCTGTTCCTGATTGCTATCCAATGCCTTCCTACTGAAGGAGGGAGTGAGGAGGAAGGGGTCCGATTTGGCTACCATGTCTCATGAGGTGAACCCTGTGCCAACACTCACTGGTCAGGCTTACACATGAAGAATGCCACCAAGGTTGACGTAACAGAGCGTCCCTGATCTCTGCCCCAGCAACGAGTAAACATTCTCAGGAGCAGAGGAGTGAAAACTAACTGAAGCGTTAACTTAAATACCCTCCAATTAAAAATAAAACCACATTTACATAGCTCCATTCATGTAAAAAAAAACAGCTTAATGTGTTCTTGTGTTGAAGAATTTGGCTGGATTTAGACGGTGGAAGAGAAATAATAAGAATAATGGTCCTTGTATTTGGTACAGCATCTTTCACGTCAGGAGGACATCTCAAAGGGCTTCACAGAATTCACTATAAAGTATTAACTGTATTTTTTACCGAATGTGGTTGCCAGTTTGCACAGCAACGTCATGAAATGAAAGAGCTATTTTATTTCGGGGATTGTTGGCCAGGACGTTGGGAGAAAGAAACTCTGTTGTCTTTTCGAGCAGAGCCGCGGGATGTTTAACGTCCGCCTGATCAGGCAGACGGGACCTCGGTTTAACGTCTCATCCAATGGGCAATCCGTCTCCAGCAACGCAGGTTTCCCCAGCACTGCACTGGAGTGTCAGCCTGTATGATGTGTGTACAAAGATACGATGTGGGGCTTGAACCCACAATCTTCTGACTCAGAGGCAAAACTCAGCCAGTCCGACACTTAAAGATGGGTCTTCGGGTGTTTGAAAGCACAGAGGTGACGAGAGGCAAGGACGATGGTCCCAGAGCATAGGGATGTGATCACTGAAGATCTGCCTCAGATGGAGGAGTGGGACGGTACAAGTCAGAGGAGGGCAAGTCATGGGCTGGGATGTAGGAATGAAGAGACCTGAAGAGTTAGCAGGATGGAGAGATTTGCAGAGTTTAGTCCTGAGCTAAAAGGAGCTGTTAACACCAGTCACGAAAAACTATGTGCCAGTCACGAAAAACCAACAGCGCGCCAAGGCACTCTGAAACAGTTTACAATGATAAGCCGCTGTATGAATTACAGTTGTTTTCAATATATATATTTATTTTATGAGGGCATTGCTTTGTAATTCAGATCAGGAACTTTCTAGCCATGGCATAATGCCTGGGAGAAAAAAAGGTTGAATATAACCTGACTTTCGAGTAACTGAAGTTAAACAGAATCCAGCGCCAACAGTAGGAGCTCACAACAACTGGTCTGGTTGCTGATTTGGAAGGTGATTACAGTCCCAGGATTCCTGAGGCAACAGACATCTGGATGTGTTTAAGGTTCGCTTTGGTGTTTAATTCTACACAAAACCCTTACTTTATCACTGACATCTTTGCGAGAGCCATCACCGGCACCCACACAAAAATAATGGAAGGGACCTTTTTCTGTGTTGTTTTGTTATGTACTGTTGGATTTTTTTGGTGGGAGATCAAACCGATAAAGGACAACTACCATCATTATAAGAAACCCACGTTTCAAACCGCTGAAGAAAGTAGTGGTTTCAAGTGCAAGTTAATCAGCTCAGAAACTCGGCGTCTGCCTCTCCTTAAAAAAAGGAAGCATTTATTCAAATGGAAATGACTTCTTTATTGTCCAGCTCTGTTTCTAATCAGCGCTAACTGGTACTGTAAGCCACTTGTGTGTGTGTGTTTTCTTGTGTTCCCTCTAGTCGATGAAGGTGATATGATCAAAAGATCTTCAGAAAGGTCAGCAGCTTTTGCTTGGGATATTTTTCCAGCTCAAATAGTTTTTCTTTTTCTCTTTCTCTCTCTTTCTCTCTCCTTCCCACCATTCTTTCTAATTTCTCCTATACATGTTTGTACCTCCCAATTCTTGTCACCCACCTCCTGTTCAGCTATAATGCCCCCGCTCGCTAGAACTCGCTCCCAACTTGCCTTTTCCTTGCACTCCCTGCCTTTAACACAATCAATGGGAGCAAGGATTCTTTCCACTCAGCTCCTGCTAATCCCGCAAGCCAAATCCCTAACAGAAAGGGTGATCCGACTTGGATAAGAGTGCCAGCCAGTGCTTTCAAAGGCAGACTCTGTGTTTTTCGCTGGTTAAACTCCAGCAGTATGCTTAATGCATTCTCCCAAGCCCATTTTCTAGCCAACTTTCACCTAATACTCTATGGGATTAGGTAAGCAGTGAGCGTCTTTCTAGGGGGAGAGACACAGGAAATGTTCCATGTGTAGATGGCGTATATATGTGGAACTCTCTCTGGTTTGGATACTCTTAACCATAGTTGTGGTTTCTACATGTGTCTTACACCTGGCTGCCGAAATATGAACCTTCCCAATTCCGTTTGCTGGGTCCTTTCTGCCTTTACCCTCCATGAAACCCAGGTACTTGGTTCAAGTCGAACATCATGATTCCACTCGTACAGTCTATGCTGATAATCCAATGGTTGTGTGTGCACTGCATCATCAGATGTGCTAACGTTCGGATGAGACATTAAACCAAGCTCTGGTCCACCAGTCCAGGGGGACGCTAAAGATCCCACTTCACTACTGAGAAAGAGAGGGGTAGTTTCTGTCTCATGGTGTTGTGGCTGACAATCCTCTACGTTAAACCAGTCATTCACTTCGTGGCTGTTTGTGGGACATTGCTGTCTGAAAATTGGCTACCGAACATGTCTACAAAACACACAGTCACTACCCTTTACAGGATATTCTGGGAGGCACTGTGGGACGTCCTCCTGACACAAAAGGAGCCATATCAAATGCAAGGATTTTATTATTATATTAAATGTGAGGGTTGTTATTCTTAAACTGTATCCATTTCGATGCAGTTATTTGCGTGCACATCTGAAATGCAGTGAACCTCTATGAACTTGACACGTGTGTGTGTGTGTATATATATAATATGTGTGTGTGCATGTGTTTGTTACAGGATGACGTCATGATGCCCCAGAGAGTGAAGCTACAATATGAAGCGGCCATGAAACATCCTAATTGTGTAAGTTTAAAAAGGGGCAGAGCGGTGATGGGGGAACTCTATTGCAATGAGGCATTTCAAATATTTTTGGAGATTATTTTGGTCTAATGTTACATAAATAGTTATTGCTGATTTACTGTAATGCTGTTGGGTGGGTCGGGCTCCCTGGCTGTTCAAATTACATCCACACCCTAACAACTGGTCCCTATTTATTTATTTACGTTAGCATTGTAACCTTACACACAGTTTCCATACTGCGCTGTGCAGGCCATATCCCACACCAGAGGGTTAATACAGGTAATAAGGAACGTACAGAAGCTGAAAAGACCACTGTGGCCTGAAGGAATTAAAACACAAATAGCACTTTAGAACTGAAATTCCACCTAGTTTTAGCCTGTCAAAAACTATTATTTTATAGGTTGAGAGCAGTGTGATGTGACATGTGTGAGTGTGTCTGGGCGTGTACTGTATATGCGCACATCAGTCCATTAGGTGTACTTGTGTATGCCTCCACCCCTCCTGATCCCAACCACCAGCTCAGGTGCAGATCCCTGACTGTTCAGCGCCTTGGGACGTCCTCCTGACGTGAAAGGCGCTGTGTAACTGTCATTTGTTGTTGTGAACGTGTATGTATTTGTGCGCTTGTGCACGTATGTGTATCTGTGCATCTGTATGCATTTGTGTGTATCTGTGGGTAAGTCTGAGTGTACGTTTGTCCCTCTCTGTTCATGTGCTTGTGTGGGCGTGCGTGTGTTTTAAGATCTAACCATTTCTCACAGAATGGCAGCTGGCTCCAAAATAGCATAATCCACAAAAATGGCTCCTTTTTATAGAGTTGTGACTAAGATGTTGGCACATTGGGTTCTTTCCCTTTGCTTTTTGCAGTGAATTCATGGCTGAGTCACTTCAGGCCTCAGAAACACAACTTCCTTTGAAGCCATTGGTGTTTTTAATGGTCTGAATTATTTTGAAACTTTGGAAAGTCCCCTCTGTGGTTATGAATCCCTTTTCCCTACAAGGGCTTGTCAAATTGTGATCAGCGGGGGCTCAGGATTTGTAGACCCCGACCCCCACCCCCAGACTAGTCAACCCATCCAGTCTTTGCTGGTGTTTTTCTCCACGTGAGTCATAAGTGTTTATGGCCGTTTTCAATAACTTTGGTAAATCTTTTCTGTTTCAATTTGGAAGATGTTTTTGCTCGAGTCTCTAGTAAAGGAACCGGTTTGCAAATCAAGTCTGAAGAATTGAAGAATTTTCCAAAAGATATTGTTTTTCAGTTTTTAAGACAAGCCTCGGTGGCAGAAGCCGATGCATTTTAGTGGCTTTTTCTTATCTTTGGTCAAGGAACCACGTACAAACAGCAGCCCCAAGGGGTGTTAGAAAAAAGAGCTGCTGTGTTAGAAAGGTACAGATGAGATCATCTGTCTTGTCAGCCTGAATGGATACGTGACAAATGCGAACTGAGACCTATTTAAAGTAGATTTCACCAAACCAGTTTCTACAGCATTTGGTTTCATTTGAAAGGCAGTTCTGGGGCAAAGTGTGTCAGCAGCTCAGGAGCCTGATATGTGGTGGTTGTTGCGGAGGTGGGGGTGGGTGTTGAGGGAAGCCTGGGGTGTCTATGAGAGTGAGGGCATGTTGGAAGCTACAGCCAGAAGAAAGCACAAATACAGAGGAAACATTGCTCAAATTGGCTGCCACGTTCACCGACAAATCACTACACTTTACGGCAAATCCTGTGAAGTGTTTTCAGACATACTCCTGATGTAAAAAGTGCTGTATCAAATGTAAGAATTACTATTGTACTACACTGATGTACTCTGCCTTTTACACAAGGCTAGCCTGGATTCAGAATACAACACAACAGCAACTTGTATTTATATAGCGCTCTTCATGCAGGGTAGCGTCCAGGAGCACTTCACAGAGGTGGAGTCTGACTCCGAGCCAGGGGGAGAGGGAGAGGGGAGGTGACCGAAAGCACGATCAGAAAGGAAAGTCTTTAGGCGGGATTTGAAGGTGGAGAGGGAGGGGGTTAGGCGGAGGGATTGGGGTCGATAGTTTCGGAGCGTAGTGGCTGAAGGCATGGCCACCAATGGTGGAGCAGAGGGGACGAGGAACGAGCAGGAGGCTGGAGCCAGCCGAGCGGAGGCAGTTGGGTGGTGGAGTGGTTCCCTCCTGTAGAACCAGTCTGCAGTGAGCGCTGCTTTCTGTGAGCTGATTTCCATTTAGAGACATACAGCTAAATATGAGCAATGGAATGTGTTATTTTATATTAAAAAGAAGTTGCATTTTTTAAACAAAAACCACTCATATGCCAGCCACGATTTGAAGCAACTTTGCCGATGCCGGTATCGTATCAGTGACCCTTCCGACAAATTGACCCCACGGAATGAACAGGACCCCTTCTGCAATGCAGGCGGCTCACTGTTAAATTCCCATTTAGTAGAGGTGCTTCGAGGGAAGGCAGAGGATATTACAGGAGGTTCTCCATTTCTATGGCCATGCACATGAGTTTTAATTTAATAATATATTTTTAGCTTTTACATGGCTGTAAAATCCTAAAGACTTGAAAGCTTTTTCTGAGCCCAGCTCCAGTGGTCCGGATAATTAATGCAGGATTGCTTTAAGTTCACTGAACAAGCGTGGCTGGAAACATGGCAAAAGAGACACAAAATGGGTGCGTTTTTCTGGGATCTACAGTTATTGCCAATTATAATCATTTAATAATAATAATCCTTGCATTTGTAATCGCTCCCTATCACGTACAATTTTCACACAGCAATGCCCCATAAACAGCCACGAAGTGAATGACTAATTTTATTCGGGGGATTGTTGACCAGGACACCAGAGGAAATGGTGGACCTCAGGTTTAACATCTCATCCGAAGAACAGCACCTCCAACAATGCACTACTCTGCCCAACACTGTATTGGAGCATCAGCCTAGACTATGTGAGTTTTAAGTCCCAATGTGGATCACCTAGTCTCATGACTGGTTGTGTGACTTTGTTGGTGTTTGCCTACAAACAATACAGTCACTACAATTTGATGCAGTGAAGCTCTACACAAGTGAGTAGCATTATAACCGTGCCACAAACAGATAGCGAATGTTGGGAAATATTTGTGGAAATACAGTATTGTGATATTATAATAATATATTATCCAACATGATACATTATTGGCATTCCAAAGTTATTTTCCCAACTTCCTTAGCTTAGGGATGCCATGATCAATTATATATTCCTCCGTATTGCACCAACTCAGTACACATGTTTCTTTTGAATAGTGTCATTGGATCTTTCATGTCTAATAATAATAATAATTCTATCTGAAAACTGGCTGATAGGATCTTAATTTAAGATCTCATCCAAAGAACAATACCTCTGGCAATGCAGAATTCCCCCAGTTCTGCACTGGAGTGATCCTTGCTTCCAGCTCAGGTGCAAATCCTTGACTGTCCAGCACTTTGGGACGTCCTTCTGGTGAAAGGTGCTCTACAAATGTAATTTGTTGCTGTTGTTGCTAAGTGTCAAGCTTACAACGTAGGCTTGTACCAACAACCATCTGTCCCAGAAACGGGTTTGCTATCAACTGAGCCACAAACCTGGTACCAGCAGCACACTGCCAGCAGTAGGAAGGACACTTCTTTTATTTGTTTTTCCTCTTCTGACCTCAGAAAACCTTTCGCCCATAGACTGCTCCTGCAATCAGGTATTCCTGTGAGCAGCCAATTGATTAACCATTGTGTGTCTGCTGTTACCTTCAACCTTTCTGTAAAACACCAGTCGCTGCATACCTCATGCTAACCAAACAGAGCTCCTGTTTATTCAGTAAAGCAAAGTTCAACATGCAGCAACCTCGGGAGCCAATAAAACTCTACGGAAGATGGAAGGGTAATTTACATGAAGATAGTCACAGTGGTTGGACTCTGGAGCAATTCTCCACAACTGGGGCTCGTTGTTGCGACATAACGCATCGTCCTGACCATCAGTTGAAGGCAAGGCTGCAATATCTTTTTATTGGGAAGCCCAGGTCAAGATAGATATAAAGGTCACCACCAAGGCTGAAAAGAGATCAAGGGAAGACAAGATCCATCAAATAATACCAAACCTTCATTTTAAAGGCTTGTGGAGTGTAGGGCGAAGAGAGGACCGAGGTCCACTGCCTTGAAGTCATGTAAAAGAAAGAGGTAGAGTAGGGGGGACACGAGGCAATGAGTTTTCATTCATTTCTTCTTCTGTTACTCTCTCCTGGCAACACAGGGAGGAGGAAGAGCAAGCAGCACATTGTGTTTGGAGGTTAAAAGAATTTGTTTTAGCTGATTAAATCGTAGCAATACCCTAATGCACAACCCAGGGAACCTGGCTCTTACCAACCTGCGCCTGATATTTTATGGGCTTAGGTGAGCAGCGGGTATTCCTCCCAAGTCAGTACCGGACAAACAGAAATTCCCATGCCTCAGCGGCATATATTTGTGGAACTCCTAGTCTTGGTTTGGATGCTCTTGTTAGTGGTGATGGATTTCCACATGTGTCAGACACCAGACTGACCAAACCCCAAATCAAGGGAGGAAAGTCCAACAGAGCAGTGACTTTGTTAGTAAAGCGAAAGACCAGAAGCAGTGTGAGATCGGGGCTTGTTTGAGAGAAAGATTATTTATTAGTCAATGATATTTATGATTATCAGGCAACAAAACATACCGTAACTGCACTTTATAGTGTATTCTGTGAAGCACTTTGAGACGTCCTCCTGACATGAAAGGTGCTATATCAAATATAAGGATTATTTATTATTATGTATTTGTCTTAAAAGCTCCTCTTAAGACAATTGTCATAATCAGGTGATTTGATTGAAATACTGATATGAGTGATTTTCATTCATTTGGGGATCAGCCAGATAACGGCAATAGTCAATTTTCAACAGCAATATCCCCCAAACAGACATGAATTGAGCGACCAGTTTATGTGGAGGACTGTTGAACACCGGGATAAACTTGCTTCCCTTTTGGAATCGCGCCACAGGAACGTTAACATCCACTGGAACAGGCAGACAGGATCTCGGTTTAACATCTCATCCACAGCACCCTGGACAATGGAGCACTCCACGAGCCCTGAATTGGTGTGTCAGCCTAGGCTATGAGCTAAAAGACCCCGACATGGATACTGAGGCCACAGCCTCTGACCCAGGGATTAGACTGAGCCAAGCTGACACCTATCTGGACCAGCGGGACATCTGATTCCACAGACCCTGTGGGGGAGAAAGTGCGGCGATATCCGTGTCCGTGCACAAGGGGAGCTTGACAGCCTTGAAGATTGGAAATCTGTTTTGAATTAAGTTGGGATTTTCTGCTGCACACACAAGGCCGACTCTGTCCAGGCTGAAAATAACTGGGTAAATAAGCAGCAAATTCTGAGCAGGAGCTCTGACTGCGCCACACAGATTTATTTCATTAAAGATTATTAAAGGGGGAGCAGGAAGAATTTGCAAAGGTTACTGTGAATGCAGTCAGTCTGTGGCCTTGGCACTGGGTATCTGAAAGCTGGAATGTGTAAGGAATAAATAGGCTGCGAAATATGTTGGTGGTCTCGGTGTCACTGTGTGTTAGTGTACATTGGGAAGCAGTAAACCTTTCACCTTTGATCCAGTTTGTATCAGATGGGATAAAGGTCTCCCACTTTCCTGATGGTCGGTCTTGCAATGGGGACTTGCTATCTTCAGTCTCGGGGGTACGGCAAGCTAGGATACCTATCGTCTGTGGGGGGAGGTAAGCGAGGTCTCCCTGGAGCTGAAGTGGCCCCAAGGTGACGTGGCAACCCTCACATCCAGTCTCGGTAGTCCAGTTCCTGAGCCAGACGAGGCCACTGTATTCTAGAGCAATGCTGATGACAGCACAGCCAGCCTGGCTCATTGGAACAGCAAACTAGTCACTGGGGACAGGGAATCATCTCTCTCAGCTTCTGTTAACCCTGCAAGCCAAAGCTCTAATGGGTAGTAAACAAGCAATGGGAAATCTTGCTGGACAGCAATATCAATGGCAAGCTATCCGGTTTTGGCTGGTTAGACCCAGTTACCCCAATGTACACTCTGGGGTCCCCAAGCCTTGGCTCTTGCCAACCTGCGCCTAATACTTTCTGGAATTAGCTAAGCAGGATGCATTCCTTCAGGGAGAGAGAGCGCATTCCATTCCAATAATCTATCTCTGGAATGTCCATGTGTAGGTGGGATGGATGGAAATCTCAGTTTGGTTTGGATACTCTTAAGCAAAATGATGGATTTCCGCGTGTGTCAGACACCCTGACTGACCAAAATATTTTGGCTGACCAAAATATTCCCAAGTCTGAAATGGAACACGCATTTTCTTCCGCTGGAGGGATCAATCCTGCTTACCTAATTTCAGAGTCTTATCTAATTTCAGAGAGTATTAGGCGTAGGTTGTCAACAGCCAAAGGCTTGGGGACCCCAGAGTGTGTGTTGGGGTACCTGCTGGAGTCTAAGCAGCCAAAACTATGTTTACTTGTCTTTTCCCCTTGGGGTTGAGCACGGTGATGGTTTTTGCATGTGTTAGACACCAGCTGGCCAAAAAAACTACCATAGAGAGCGTTAATAGATAGGACTCTGTGAGAGTGCATCAGTGGACACTGAGGAAAAGCATTCATAATTATCACGTTAGGACGATTATTATCTATGAATTAATGAACTGATTTAGAGTAACAGCGCCCTGGGGTGTTCTCCCGACTTGAAAGGCGCTCACAAATGTAATTTTGTATTGCATTGTAACTGAAAACGTGTTTCATCCACGATCATTTCCATGCATGTTAGACACAAGCCCCTATAAAAGAGGCAATTTCTACATCGGCCAATCTCCTACTAACTGGTTATTTTGCTGAAGGGGGAGAGTTTATATTCATAGGATGTTCTCTGCTATTAAACATCTTTTGTACGATAAAAAAANCACTAAATTCGAACTGTTTCATCTCGGGATTTTGTTTTGAACTCTGTGCTCTTGACTTCCTGTTTGCAGGAGCCCATTCCCTTGGCAGGAAATGAAATATTGATTTTCTTAAACCTTACCCAGAGATATACCTTCTCTAGTTATTAACTAAGTGGTGCCAGATGCACAGCCAGTCGAATAATGGAGACTGTGGATAGGAGGCTAGGACCGTAACAATTTTTTCCCAAATCCCGGGGTTTGGGGATTTCTATTCAATATTAAAAGTGTGCATTATCATAAATTATGATATATTAATATATATATATGAGTCTGTCGGTTTTCTTGCTGGAGATCAAAGGCGTCGCTGGAGGATTTATTTTTTATTTTCGTATTCATATTTTGTTGTTATATTTAATATTCTGTGCACAATTGGCTGCCGCATTTCACCGACAAAATACACAGTCAATCCACTTCACTTCACTTCACTTCACTTCTGTGAAGCACTTTGAGACGTCTCACTAACGTGATCAAGCGCTGTGTGAAATGCAATGATTATTATTATTGTTCATAATATTAATTTCAGCCAAATTGCATGATCAATCAGCCCAATGTATCTGCCCTGCTGCACTCAGCAAGTACTAATCAGCCAGAGAATTAATTAATATGACAAAATACCTGTTACCAAATTCACCCACAAAACACCCCAGGCCACTGCGCTTTACATCAGTTTATCTGTGAAGTGCTTTGAGACAGTTTGACAAGATCTATGCTTTATCCAACAGGATCATCATTATAATAATAGTCCTTGCATTTGATACAGTGTCTTATCACGTCTTCTAGACATCTCAAAGGGCTTCACAGAATATGATGCAAAGTGAATTGACTGTGGTCACTTAACCAAATTATTATTGTTGTTGTTTATTTGAAGGAATTATTTCCCTTGGAAAAATGATAATAATAATAATAATCCTTGCATTTGATATAGCGCTTTTCACATCGGGAGGACGTCCCAAAGCGCTTCACAGAACACACTGTGAAGTGAATTGACCGTATATTTGTGGGCGAACGCGGCAGCCAATTGCGCACAGCAATGTCCCACAAACAGTCGTAGATTGAAAATGACCAATTTATTATTGTTTTTGTTTTGGAGGGATTATCATTAGGCTCTGTGTGGAGTAAGGAAACTTGCCCAAGGTTTCGCCCTCTGCCTGGAATTGAACTCAGGTCTCTCACTTGCAAAGCGAGTGCTCTAACCACTGAGCTACAGGACTCCACGATCCGCCAATCGACTAACAATTACTAGATAAACAGAGACGTGTGGAATAAGGAAACTTGCCCAACATTTCGCCCTACCAGGAATCGAACCCAGGTCCTCCCCCTTTGCGAGGCGAGTGCTCTAACCACTGAGACTCCACAATTATTGTATTGTTTTGCTATGCTATAGTCCTTGGGCATTTTAGTGACACACCACCGCTGTCAGAGGCTGTCGCCTTTGTGGTGTGGATCAAAGGCGTCGCTGGAGGATTTATTTTGTTTGTTTTATTTTCATATTCTCCTGGAAATGGGGCGTGACCTGGTATCTCTGTCATCTTAGATAATTGGCTGTCAAGTGAGGAGAGATCCAGGGGATTCAACTGAGCGCTACACCCGTTGGATTAACAGTTTGACACAAGAGCAGCTGTTTACACAGGTAAGATAGAGAGTGATCGCTTCTCACCATCCTCGGGGAGTTGGACTGTATTTTTTCTTTGGCTTCTATTGAGAGACGGTTCTACGGGCGTCCTCCAGTGTCTCGCCCCATAATAGGCATCAATCACCTGTGCAACTTATCCATCTGCGAGGGCATCAGAGTCCTGTCCTCACCTGACACATATGTGCACACGTACATACACGTAGACACGTGTATTTAAAAAAAATTATAATTTGGTCACCCAATCCACGACTGTTTGTGGGATGCTGCCGGGCGCAATTGGCCGCAGTGTTTCGCCCACAAAATATACAGTCAATTCAATTTGCAGTGTATCCTGTGAAGTGCTTTGAGACGTGACAAGGCGCTATATCAAATGCAAGGATTATTATTATGTTGAGGGTGGGAGTTAGGGGGTGGAGTAAACGATGATGTGGAGACCGGAATTCTCTCCCATTATGATAATAATAATCCTTGCATTTGGATTAGCCTCTCATCACCTCGGAAGGACGTCTCAAAGAGGATTTACTGTGAAAGGGAGTCACTGTGTAGTTGTAGGAAAACACTGCAGACAATTACCAACAACAATGTCCCCGCATCAGCCATGAAACGATGACCAATTTTATTTGGAGGGATGTTGGCCAGGACACTGGGAGAGAGAGAGAAACTCTCTTCTCTTTTTGAATAGCGTCACAGGATCTTTAACGAGTATCTATGGGGCACTCTGCCCAGTTGGAGCCCAGCTGCTGCTGTGGATGAGATCAGCTAACCCAACACAGTTTGGATTCAAGCCCACAACCCTCCGGACTGTACCTGTACCCCCTGCCCTATCCACCCTCTCATAGGTGACCAAGCTTTCAGCCGTTCTGCCCCCACTCTCTGGAACTCCATCCAGAAGTCACCCCACCCCATCTTGCCCCCTCCCTCCCCGCTCCTCGTCATCTTTCCTCCCGCCAAGCATACTCTTCTCTCTTGAATTGACTGTACATCATCCACAAAATATACAATCACTACACTTTACAGTATATTCTGTGAAGCGCTTTCGGACGTCACAACGACATGATAATGCGCTGTATCAGATGCCAGAATTATTTAATGAATTAAATTAGGATTCAGATCTCCCCTGGCTTGTGAAGTACTTTGGGACGTCCTCCCGATGGGAAAGGGTTGTATAAATGTATATTGTGTTGTGTAGATCTTATCCTACTACATCATCGTAGGAGTTCTGCGCTCTGGGACACTGCCACATGTGAAGGGCGCTATGTAAATGCAAGTTCTTGTTGTGCTCTATCATTCCAATTTGCTCATAATCCATTATGCAGTGTATCTGCTTTGCAGACGAAATATCTTTTTAATTTGTGCAATTTCTTTCTCATTTTCTCTCCCCACTACTCCACCCCACCCCACCCCCCACCACTCCTTCCTCCTCCTCTGGGTTGTGGAGACAACACACTGTGTACCCATTTCCCAGCTGGGGCAACAGGAGCTTCTTCTATGATCCCATCTCAGACAGCAGGGTTTGGGGGGAAGTGGTAGTGGTGGGGGGCGTGGGGGGTGGAGGAAGACGCCACATGTTTTCATTTCAAATTGTTTTCATATGAAGTGGAGCTTGGAGCACGTCTTTTTGCTGAGCTGAGAAACTTAAGACCTTATTCATGGCAACAAAAAAAAATTGTGATTAATAGATTCACTGACCCAGGGTTGGGGGGGAGATCAAACCCTCGAATAACCTGCGAGTGTTAATGGAACAAGCTCCCAGGCAGCAGACATTCAGTGCAGTTTTTGCAGCCTTTCGGAGGAGGCGGTTTCCACGTCCAGACATTCAAACCGTGTTTGACTAAATGTTCCTTTGGAGCTTTCAACATCACACACAGAATGTGGAGGCAAATTATTGGAGTGATTATCAACTGGTCGGGCTGTGAACTGGATGAAAAATAATCAGTGACCAGGCAGTTTGGATGTGTGCAGCTGTTTTCTCCCCACCCTCCCTCCACACACACTCTTGTGGACCTGTCAGACCTTTGGCTAGCAATGCCACAGTTGTTTATTGCATTGTCTAAATGTCCAAGTCTGGCTTTGCCAATGGAGTCTGTTCAGAACCAGTTGAACCTCAGGGAGTTTCTGCTTATTTGCACCTTTGCCCCTTCCCCACAATTGGACAGGACTCAGTTTTGCACTTGACAGTGTCATTAATCACTGCTTAAGAGATACTGCCCTGTGTGAAGGGCATTATGTAAATGCAAGTTGTTGTTGTTAGAGAGAGCTCAGGATTTGAGCTGGATTTCCAGTTTGTAAATTTCCCATGACGTACTGTACAGTGGTTATTGTGTTTGCCTACAAAAGACAGTCACTACATTTATTCTGTGAAGACTTTGAGACATCCATCTGATGGGAAAGGTATTGTTTCCAATGCAAGGGTTGATTTTGTTATTTTACAGTGATGCTCCCAATGCAAGAAGGTTTGGGATACAAATCCCAGATTGAAGTTGGCTCCTGCAACAGGAAAAAGATGCTGATCTGAAGTGTTTCCTTGTGTCTGCCTGGCTCGGCAAGCAACATTCCCGCCTCCGAATCAAAAGGCTGTGAGTTCAAACCCCACGTTGGGGTTTGGAACCAATGTAGTCTGACACTCCAACGCAGTGCCGGGTGTGTGCTGCATTGTTGGAAGTGCCGTCCTTAAACTGAGGTTGTGTCTGCTTGTTCAGGTGGACATTAAAGATTCCACGGCATTATTCGAAAGGAAGTATTTCCCGGAGTCCTGGCCAACATTCCTCCCAGATTAAATAAAACTATTGGTCATAAATTCCATAGCTGTTTGTGGGATGTTGCTGTGTGAAAATTGTCTGCTGCCTTTGCCTTGTAATATACAGAGTGATACCACTTCACTTTATAGCCTGTGAAACACAACAACGTGATAAGGCGCTATATCAAATGCAAGGATTAGTTTTTACGGGGAGGAAGAGCATAGACTGCTCGTTAGAATAAAGCAGTGTGAAAACTGAAGAGCAATGCTATCGACAATAAAAGTACATAATACTGTTTGTGGGCCCCTGCTGTGCGCAATTGGCTTCCGAGTTTCACCCACAAACTATATAGTGAATCCAATGTCTACATTATATTCTGTGAAGTGCTTTGAGACATCTCAACGACGTGATAAGCGCTGTATCAAATGCAAGGATTATTATTTGATTAAGCAATGTACAAAGCCCGTCTGTTCTGGTATGGCCACTGCACTATCTCACCCAACAATGTGCCAGGACTTTCCTAACCTGATTCTGCAACATAATAGCAAGAACAATATTTTCTCAGCTTGTTTAATCTTCGTCTGACATATTTCACAGACCAAAATAATTACATTCCGAATCTCGTGCCCTCCCAGAAAGCAAAGACCCCTCCCCCTTCCCCTAAAACAAGACTTTAAATGTTTTAATGCGTGGTGTTGCAGTGTCTGACTTGGCAGAAGTGCTGCCACTTGTGGCACAGGGCCAGAACAGAGCTGGCATTTCCAGGTTCAGTTTCTGGTCAGTGCTGAATTAGCAGATCTCAGATCGTATTGAAGTATTTTGGATGCTGAGGGGTATAATTGGGAGCAAGGATACTTCCTACCCAACTCTTGTTAACCTCGCCAGTCAGCACTCTAACCAGAAGGGTGGTTCTAGCTGGATAAGCAGCGGGAAGCTAGACAGAGCTCTCAATGGCAAGCGACAAGCTCAAGTGCTATCTCCAGCAGTTACCCCCACACGCCCTTTGGTGTCCCCAAGCCTTTGGCACTGGCCAATCTGCAAAGTTGTGTCTCTCCGGGGAGAATGCGCGTACCATTCCAGACACAGGGAGATTTCCATGTGTAGGTGACATCTGGCTGACCAAAGAAAAACAAGGGGTATAAATAAACTCAGCCTCACTAATATGTTTAATATTGTCACAATCTGCACAACAAGGAGGCACAGACTAGAGCTCAATTGAGGGCAGGTGAAAAGACAGGCTGAATTATTTTACACAGAGAATGATGGAGGTGTCAAATAATAATAATAATAAATAATAATAATCCTTGCATTTGATATAGCGCTTTTCACGTCGGGAGGACTTCACAAAGCACTTCACAGAATATACTGTAAAGTGAATTGACTGTATATTTGTGGGCGAACGCGGCAGCCAATTGCGCACAGCAATGTCCCACAAACAGTCGTAGATTGAAAATGACCAATTTATTATTGTTTTGTTTCGGAGGGATTATTATTAGGCTCTGTGTGGAGTAAGGAAACTTGCCCAAGGTTTCGCCCTCTGCCTGGAATTGAACTCAGGACTCTCGCTTGCAAAGCGAGTGCTCTAACCACTGAGCTACAGGACTCCACCAGAGATTAACCAGAGAGGTAGTGGAGACAGATTGGGTCAGGAATTTCATAGAATCATAGAATCTTACAGCACAGAAGGAGGCCATTCAGCCCATTATGCCTGTGCTGGCTCTTTGAAAATGCTAGCAACTCCCACTCCCTCACTCCTACCCTGTAGCCCTGCAATTTTTTTTTCCTTTTCAAGTCCATATTCAATTCCCTTTTGATCCACCGCCCTTTCTTTCGGGCAGTGTGTTCCAGATCGTAATTTGAATGAGGGAATTAAATAACTATTAACAGACTGATAACAAATTCGATCGAGAGGAACCTTTTTTTTGGATCCTTGAGCTAAAAGTATAGTTTTTCTCCTTAATAAATTTCAGGGGATTTGATTTGGCTGCTCTTTTTAATTTTTTTTTAAAAATCTTTAATGAAAATCATTTCTGCTCCCGGCACAATTGGTCCTTTAACTAAATTCAGCCAAAGAGAGACCACAATTTGTTGCTTCAATTGATAGATACGGTCTTGCCGTTCAACCACCAGGGATTGTTGAACTCGTAACTTTGCATCATCTAAGACTGTTTCTCTTAGCCTCAGTCTCGCACTCTGGGCAAACTTTGGACAAAGTTGTTCTTTCTGTTAAACACTGCCTTTGTTCTCCAGTGAGCGACA